GTTTGTGTGTGTGTGTGAGAGAGAGAGGGAGGGAGAGAGAGAGGGAGAAAGAGAGAAAGAGGGGGAGAGAGAGAGAAGGAGAAAGAGAGAGAGAGAGAGAGAGAGAGAGAGAGAGAGAAAGAGAGAGAGAGAAAGAGAGAGATCAAGAGAGTGAGTGAGTGAATGAGAGAGTGTGTGAGACAGACAGAGTAAAAGAGATACACGTCCGTATTGTTGATGTAAATCACGTTTCATATAAACCATGTTTCCCAGGGTACCATCAGTATTTCTGGTTCTCGCTGCCACTTTCACCACAATCCATTTGTGCGGCTTCTTCATGTTGAGCGACCTTAAATCCGGACGTGACGTCGCTAACGATGTGGAGCAGAACCAGATCGAGTCACTCGACCCTGACGTTGAGCCAAAGCTGTCTTTGTTGGACAAACGACATTTTAAAAAGGATAACGGGATCGTCTATCAACCCATTCGTCAGCACGACCTTCATGATGATGACAGTCTGCTGGACAAAGATGGCGACGGTTATAAAGATGCCGAAACTCGGTCCCGTTCAGAAGTCAACTTACATTTAGGGACTCCCCCTTTCCAGGGTTCTGATATAGTGTATGGCAAAGGACAAGAAGCAGAAGAGGAATTATTGCTCAAAGAATTTGATGAGCAAGAAGTAGAAAACGGGCAAAACGAACAGCAGCAAAAGTCGACTAGTAGCGCGAATGCCCCAACGTGGCGTGACGCAGTGAGAACTAAACATTTCTACGTCTTGTGGTTCGCCAGTGGCTCAGCAATCATGGCCAATGTTATCGTCAGCACATTCTTCAAATCCTTCGGACAGAGCCTGATCAAAGACGATCATTTCCTGAGCAGCATCGGTACTTTTATGGCTGCAGGTCTCTTTGTATCGCGTATGATTTGGGGATTTGTCATAGATAATACTGACTTGAAAAGCTCACTGGTGTCATACTATTCGATTCTGTCTCTGTCCGGAACGTTTTGGATCTTTACCCCACACATCGGTAAGTGGGTATTTCTGATGTGGACCACTCTTTTGGCAAGTTTTGCGGGAGGATTTCATACCGTGATCTACGTGTCAGTTTATGCCAGCTTTGGCGGCACAAATTTCACGACTATATACGGCCTCGTTTGTTGCTCGGGGATAATTGTAACCCTCTTTCTCCCTGTAGTTTTGTCAGCCATTTTAGAGCACTTTTCCTGGTCAGGGTTGTTCTTTACCATGGCGTCAGGAAACATAATTTCTTTAGTCCTGATAGTTGTCTATTTCCCTCGGAAATTTTGACCTTAATTATAATAACAATTTGTCTGTTAATATCTGGCTGTGACCCTAGAAAATTTTTGCCATAAAACCAATATTTTGTCCGTCACTGCCTGACGATGACCCTGGAAATTGTGCGCAATACTAGTATACTGTAAAACAATTTACCCCGATCCCTTCACTCTCACCCCAACCATATTTTGTTTGTTCTTTTTTTTTTCGAATTACTGTCCGTCAGGTGACTAGACATCAAAGACTTAAGTGTTTTAGTCATCTGGTGAGAATCCCCCCCCCCCCAAACAACCAACTGCACAAGTATACAACGCATTAGCATTGAGCTGCAAAGTCAGGGGTGGACCGCAGAAACCTTTTTTAGTTTTAATAGAGATTTTACGGAGCTCGCAACTGCATAAGGCCATATGAGCGCCAGAAGATTAAAGGTGTTACAAGAGATTAACAAACGTAAAAAAGTAGAAGGGGAGATAACGACGATAAATGTTAGATAGAAAAGAAGAAGCAAACCACGCCAGAGCACCCGCCAACCACTCACGGAAAAATCTTCACTAGGTGGTGTCAAAGTGGTCTTCCTGCAGAACAACGTATAAACAACAGAAAAATCGTAGCTCTCCTCGGCATCTAACAATACAAAAAATAAAGAGATTTTTAAAATGTTAGCGATACAAAATTAACGCCTGCGATATAAAATTCAGTTCTAGAAATTAAAGGAGAAGAAGGATTATAAGGCATTCCCATATATACGGGCCAATCTAGACGTTAAAAAGTGAAAAGTTTATGTTTTTCCAGTCGTTCAATAAAGCTGATGTTTTCTCTTGCGTTATCCCAAGTTTGTTATGTTTTATTTCTGTTCGATTATCTCTCTTTTCTCTTCTTCTCCCTCTGTCTCTGTCTCTGTCTCTCTCTGTCTCTGTCTCCCTCTCCCCCCCTCCCTCTCTCTCTCTCTCTC